TCGAATCAACAACAACTCTCAAAGGTTACTTCGCCGATGAAGAGAAAGGGACTACCAAAAGGGTCGGCACCTTGCGACGATCGAAAGCAGGAATCCAGAGGAGCCTTCGGCAGACCGAGAAGGGAAGACTGGTGTAGGGGATGAGAAGATCCCTGGAGCAGCAAGAACAGTTTTGTTCCGGACAGATATTCTGGAGATACTCTTTGGAGCGAATCATTTTGTGTCAAACCTGAATGTGCAGGCCAATCGGGTGCTTGGAAATTCGTGGGGAAAACTCAATACGGGGCTTTTCAAAGATGCCATAACGCATGCAAAAGTGGAAGCTGGAATATTTAGGGCTCTCCGAAGTTCATAGATGAAGCAATACCGGCGGCTCTGTATAAACAGAATCGGTCGTAACTCAGAGAGACAGAGGCAGTGGGCCCAATGTGGTACATGGTATCTGTCGTAAGAGAGAAATGCATCCGGGAGACGCAAACTTGGTATGAACAGATAACTGCACCACAAGTGAAAATGACCGACCTTGAATAGCGATTTGGTGTTGGACCACAGCTTCGCGCAGCGTAAAGACTGTGGAAAACAAGAAATGGGTCAGCGTAAAAGGGACTGGGAAGTCTGGGAAAATGTAGCCTTTGATCAAGGCGCTCCCGCGGCGAAATGGATAGTCAAGGCAACACGACGAACATCATGCAAGCAATGCATGCAGTAGCCGAGCTTTGTGTGTCGTGGGTAGTGCGCGCCGCCGCAAGCGCCTTTGGAGCTTTGTTTCCAGTGGTTTATCTGAATTATTCAATATGCTAATGTTATGAATTATTCACATTTCTCTGAACCAATCGTGTTTGGAGGGCTAAGTAGTCCGAATGCATATGTCTGGGCCGCTTATGTCTTTGCACAACTGTGCGGCCGGGTATTTGAAACTCTTGCCATATCCAGTTGGAAGATTGAAAAATACGTCTTGACCCTCCAGAACAGCCTTCACGGCCAACATTTGCTGTGGTTTCAATTTGTCGATCAGAATCCCAAGCTTCGGTGCTGTATACTTGAGGCTGTTCTGGAAAAGATTGTCGTCTAGAGTTTACACCACTGCCGAAAAGGACGCCGTATTGAATACGCCCGCCATTGTAAAGAAGAATACTTTATTACATGCGCCACAGAGGCGATCGTTTTGATTGTTGGAGACTTATGTCTACGCATATATCGTATCTTCTACCGAAACGGTAGCAAATGTAGAGAAAAACGTAAGCTACGTGGGGCAGAACTTCCAAGGCGTTCGGGGCGTGCAGTTTGTCGTGCAGTCTTTCTCCTCCAGCTCCTCGCTCTTGAGCGACTATCCATTTCGCCGCGGGCACCTTGATCAAAGGCTAGGGAAAATGAGACCTGCC